TGCTATAAGGGAAAAAAAGAGGAAGCTTTATATCCACAATATTAAAGATCATTGAGACATGTGTATCCAAGGTGATAAAGGTATATCTGATGCTGCGACATACCATTTTGAACATCTTTTTAATATCTCCCATAGTTTTACAGATACCAAAAGAGGATAATGCATATCTTACTGCAATGCCTAATATGGTTGAGATTAAGAATGTTGTTTTTAGCATGAGTTCTACAAGTTCTGCAGGACTTGAAGGCTATAATGGTACCTTTTATCACAAATGTTGGAACATAATTTCCAATGATGTTAAGGATTTGTTCAAAGTTTTTTCAATGGCAAGAAACTTACAAAATTTTTCACTCATACCTGCCTGGTCCTTATTCCTAAAATATATCCTCCAGTTAGCTTCTCTGATCTTAGACCGATTAGTTCAACTAATTTCTCCTGCAAGATTATTTCTAAGATTCTTTCTATTAGATTGAATCCTTTTCTTGAGAAACTAATTTTTGAGAATCAAAGTGGCTTTGGCATAGGTAGGATCATCACAGAGAATGTTATGTTGGCCCAAGAAATTGTCCACGGTATCAAACAATATAATAAATGAGGCAATATGGTTATCAAGTTGGATATGACAAAAACATATGATAGGATGTGTTGGGATTTCCTAATGGTTGTCATGAAAAAGTTTGGCTTTTTAGATATTTGGCTAAATATCATTGGAAACTTATTGGCAGGAGTGTGGTACTCTATTGTTTTTAATGGTAACAAAGTGGTTTTTTCACTTCCACTCGAGGTCTTAAACAAGGTGATCCACTTTCTCCCTCCCTTTTTATTATTGCAGCTGAGGTTTTGTCTAGGTTTCTCAATATCCTCAATCATAATAAACATTTCAAATCTTTCACAATGGATATGAGAGGGCCTATTATTAACCATCCACTACATAAAAATGATCATTAGCGGTAATTAATTCTTAATTGCCGCTAAATATGTATTTTTAGCGGTGATTAATACTCTTTGTATATGTCCGTAAAGTCTTTAGCGACATTGGTTCTAATAGCACTTAACTGATGTCGGTAAAGACTTTAGCACTCTTTATTAATGTCAATATTTATTACCGCTAAATGTTATTTTTGTTGTAGTGATCTTGCTTATGCTGACGATATCATTATATTCTGTGGAGGTCACAAAAAACCCATCAAACTCATTAAGTATCAAATCAGTAGATATGAGAAAGCTTCGGGATAAAAAGTTAATGACAACAAAAGCTTTTTCATCACTGCCCCTAATACCTCGGCTTATAGGATCAACAGAATGAGGATGGTCTCAGGATATATGGATAAAAAAATTCCTTTTACCTACCTTGGATGTTCTATCTACTATGGGAGAAAAAATGGAGTCCTCTTTGACGGGATGTTGGCCAATATTGTGAAGAAGTTGAATGGTTGACAGAGCAATATGCTCTCGTATGGAGAAAAGTTAATTCTTAGTAAACATGTTCTACAATCTCTTCCAGTTTACATCATGTCGGCTATGAGACCACCTAAGGGTGTTTTGAACATTATGAAAAAGTATTTTGCAAACTTTCTATGGGGAGTCTCTGAAGGCAAAAATAAATACCACTGGGCGTCTTGGAAAAAGTTGTGTTTACCTAAAGATGAGGGAGGTATTGATAAAAGAAAAATGGAAGAAATCGCTGATTCTCACACGGTGAAAAGATGGTGGAGATTGAGGACACACCCTTCCCTGTGAGCTAAGTACCTTCAAAACAAATATTGCAAAAGAGCTCATTGTGTAAAAAAAGTTCCAATTTTGGCTGACTCTCATACTTGAAAAAGTCTCATGAAAATTATGAGTAATGTTGAGCCTCATATCCTCTGGAAAGTTCAAGCGGGTAATTCTAATTTTTGGTGGGATAATTGGACAGGTTAAAGAGCTTTAGCTAAGATATTCCCTAGTAAAGGAAGATCAACAAATCTCAATGTTAATGCTTTCTTCAATTATAATGATTGGAATATGACTAAACTTCTCATTGTTCTTCCTTTACATGGCTCAATACATTGCTCAACTTGAAATTGGTGACCAAAATGAATAAGACTTCCCAATTTTGCAACTCACAGATGATGGTGTTTACTCCAATAAAAGTTCCTAGCAAACAATTAGAGCCTCTGGAATCAAAAATCCTTTCTTCAATAATCTTTGGCACAATAGAATTCCTTTTAAGATATCTTTTCTTAATTGGAAGATTTTGAAGAAAAAAGTCCCCTTTGATGACACAATCAGTAGATTCGGAACTGACAAAAGATCTATGTGTATTTGTTGCAGAAATGATACACGTGAAACTAATCAACATTTTTTTGTTGAAAGTGAAGCTGCTCATCAAATATGAATTTTTTTTGGCAGTGCCCTAGGGATTCAACATATAGATCTGCCAATACCTGAAATTTTCAAAAGAGAAGTGCACTAATGATATTCATAAACTTATTTTACAGGTTACACCAATCATCGTTCGTTGGGAACTTTGGAAACAGAGATGATCATGCAAATATGGCAATCAAAGAAAGCTTTTTATGTAAAGAATGATATTGCAAGGAAGTTGGACCATCAAGGAGGTAGTAAGCAAATTTTACCCTCCATTTAGAGACATCAATCATTGGCCAACAATCTGCAGCACTGTGGAGAGATTGAGACCTACTACAAAAAGGATACAAGTCAAATGGGAAAGGCCTCCCGTTGGAAGGCTAAAGGTTAACACGGACGAAAGTTACCTCGTTGACAGCAATAACACAGGAATTGGAGGTATTATGAGATATCACCAAGGAGAATTAATTATGGCCTTTGCCGTCTCAGTTCAATTTAACAACAATAATAGCGCAGAGGCCCTTGCAGCCGTGTTTGCAGTGAAATGGTGTTATCACCAAGGGTATACTGACTTCATCCTGGAACTCGATTCATTGGTGATTGTTGATATGGTTACTAACCATGACTCCAATAATAGGAAGCTGAAACACATCATCGATAAGATGCTAAAGATCAAGAATGCGACAAACTTTGAAGTGAAGCACTGCTATCGGGAGTGCAATCAAGTAGCTGATAGTTTCGCCAAACTAGCCTCGACCACCGACCAAAATCAAGTTGTATTCCTATTTTGATTTGCACAGAACCTCTAAAGGCCCCTTTCAACTTGATAAGTGGCAAATGCCTTGTATTCGATCCAAATTTGACAAGGCCAACTTTTATGTTAGATAAGTGGTAATTTTGCAAGAAGCTTGGCTATTTTCAGCCTCTTCTGTCTTATTCAATGGTGATGTGATCACCACAAAATGTGTTGTATTTGAGGTCAGCCCCCCTTGTATCTTTTTGCTTAATACAACATTGCCCAGAGATAAGACTGGGGAGAGTTGGCAAAATAGCCACTCTCCAAACTTAATTGAACATTAAGACAAAAGTCTTGAATAATTTGTGGTATACCCACTATTAGTGACATCATTCACATGCCCTGATTGTCACATACAAAAGACCTCACTAAGTTTTCTTATCTCCACTTTGGTCCCCCCTTCTTTTCCAACTAATTTGGAATAATATATATTTATTTGCATTTGTTAAAAATTATATTAGAAAAAAAAAAACCAAACGGGAAAGAAGAGCAGCTCGTTTTTGCTGCTGTCAAAACTGACGATTTCGGTGAGTTTTCCGGCCAAAATATCCATTTTCAAGGTAAAATCATCATCATCTCCTACTCCATAGTCATGTTTACTTCATTTTCTTTCAAAAACCAAGCTTCAAAATGATTTTCCCGCCATTTTAGAAATTTGAAAAATCTTCCATAATAAACACTTGATAATTCATTATAGATACATTGTAGTAGTTTAAAAGCATTAAAAATCTGTTTCGCCGTTGCAGGAGCTATATTTTGAACCACGATCTCATTCAGTTGCGTTTCTTTACGGATGTCATACTTCATCGATCGTTAACGACTGATACTGTAATCTAGTATCTATCTTTGTAGTCTATAATGGCAGTAGCTAAATTTGTTGTTGCTGGTGGTGATTATATGAGAGTATGGGAGGAGACTCCCAAAAGTTGGAATTGGAAATCTTTTAGTAAGACGACAGTGCCCATTGCGTTGCATCGCAATGGTTCATATGACGATATGATTGCAAGCATAATTGAGGTCGGTGAGTTAACTTGCAAGCCAAATGACTTGGTGATTAGCTATCAAATGAATGAGAGGGAAAAAATACACCCCACATTCATAAAAAATGATAGGCACATGAGCTTGTACATGTTAGATATTGGTATTGATTGCTCTAGGCCTACATTGAGGATAAACGTTAATGTGAGACCTCCAATTGAACCAACGAATTCATTTAACGACGATAATGATTCGATTAGAAATGAAAGATTGGGTGATCATTTAAAGGAGAGCTTGGGTGATAATTCAAATGAGAGTTTGGGTAATCATTCAATGAATATACATGATGACCCAACTAATATGGAAAATCAGCTAGTAGATGCGTAAGATCCCAAACCCGAATGTTGTGAAGAAATGCAAGTACAAAAAGAATTGGGATCACAATCCAACCATTCCTTCTCCGATGGAACTAATTTATGTATAAACCAAACTTTCAGTAACAAGAATGAGTTGCAATTGTTATTAGCCGAAGTGGCGGCAAAAAAGTCTTTTGATTTTGCTACTGTGAAGAGTTGTACTAAATACTTAAAGGTGAAATGTGTATCTCGCAATAGCGCATGGATGTTGCGGGCGAGGAAATATGAGTGTTCGAATAGATTTCATATCTATAAGTACATTGGCGAACATAGTTGTGGCGTTGAACATGCCAACAGTAGCCATAGAAAAATTTCAATCAAAGTCATTGCTTCACTTTGTGTAAATATGTATCGTGATGGCAAGGGTCCAAATGAAAGAGATTCAAAGAGCTATGTTTAATTCTTTTGATTGTAGTCCAAGCTATTGGAAATGTTGAAAATGTGGTGTGGTTGCTAAGGAAATGGTCCGAGGGACAGCGGAGAACGGATATTCATGCTTACTAGCTTTTTCCTACATGTTCGACACACTTAATGTTGGTTCTAGTTATTGTCTCATGGTAAACGAGGATAGTCATAGGTTGTATTATTTCTTGGCCTTTGGTGCTTGCATTAAGGTATTTGCCCACATGAGAAAGGTAAATACGGTTGATGACACTCATTTACATGATAAATATGAGGGCGTGTTGTTGAGTGTTGTTGCATAAGATATAGAGAATCATGTTTATCCAATTGTCTTTTGTGTCGTGGACAAAAAGAATGATGCATCTTGGACATTCTTCTTTGAGAAATTGAAGGAGATTGTGATCGATGAACCAGATTTGTGTTTTATCTCCGATAGACATAAGAGTATCACCAACGATATTGTGAACGTTTACAATCATGCTCACCACGGATATTGTATGAGGCACCTCAGTGAAACTATCTGCGTAAATCATCATTATGGAGATTACCTTTATCTTTACTACAATGCGGCAAAGGCTTATTCTTTGGAGGAGTTTGACAATCATTTTGTAGAATTCAAGAACAAATGCCCTGTTGCAGCCATCGTCCTTGAGCATGATATTGGTTTTGAGAAGTGGAGAAGGGCACATTTTCTTGGCAATAGATATGATGTTATGACCACAAATATCGTCGAGTCACTCATTGTTATGTTGATAGATGAAAGAGAGTATGCCGTTTCATATATATTTAATTCGATTGCTAAGAGGTTTAGAGAATTGTTTAGGGAGAGGCATGCATGTATCCTCAAATCAATGGGTAATCAAATGGTGCCGGTTGTCGAAAAAATTACAAGAAAAAAACTGATCGAGGGCGACTCCTTGTATGTGGAGAATGTAATCGGGGACGACAATCAATTTAACGTGTTCAGTGCCGATGTTACTGCCTATGTGGACCTACTGGAAAAGTCATGTTCATGTAGGGAATATGACTAGATCAAGATACCTTGTGCTCACGCGATGGCCGCTTTGCGATCGAAGCATGAAAATGAGTATGGTATGAGCATCTATGAGTACTCTTCGCCTTTGTATAAAGTTGAAGCGTACCTTTTTGCATACATGGATTCTTTAATGTTGTCCCTCTCGAGTCGGAATGGTGTGTTCCAGAAGAATTGCTTAATGTGAACATTCTTCCGCCTCTTGTCGATACCAAGCTTGGAAGAAAAATAAGAAAACGTGTCAAAGACATCGGTGAGAATTTCAAGAGCAAGAGAAGGAACAAATGTTCAATTTGTAAGAGAACCGGACACAAGAGAACTACATGTGTGAACAACAACAAATCTTAAACAAGCTTGATTGAATTTGTTTTTGTAATCAAGCTACTGTTGTTTTTTGTTACTGTAATCAAGCTACTGCCAGCATTTTGGTCAATTTATTGTCATCTATTATCGTAATTACTCATGATCTAATATAGATCAATCAGAAGATGACATACATTTTGTACACTGTCTATTAAGTTGTGTATTATTAATATATGAAAATTCATGAAATTTGTAATGCAATGATTCTAATGCATGAATTAGAATATGATTAAGAATTAGAATTAGAATGAATTATAATGATATTTGTGACTATTTTTAATGCACCAAATCAAACAATGCTTAAGAAATAATCTAAGTATAACTAATTCAACTATAACTAATACAAGCATTATTTGCATATACACTCCACCAAGCGAATCCTTAATGAATTGTCAAAAATATAAATGTTACCATTAAAAAAAGTAGTAATTTGAACCTTTTTTTTACCGTTGTAAAATTTGTATATCTAAATATTTACTGGTTATAAAAATATATAGACCCTTTATACAATCGATCCATCTATATGTGTGTGGTGTATGTATGACATATGAGATTTACACTTTGACATTAGCAAGGTATATTCGGGTTTATATCTATGTTAATGCATTGTCGATACTTCACCTACTAGAATCTGACACTTATATATAGACCAAAACTTGTAGAATTTAAAAAAGACACTAATTAATTAATAATAAATTATATATTTGAAATTTATCCAATTTTATAAGTTTAAACAAGTCATATGATCATATAAGAGTCCACATAAATTGGGTGTGGTGATTAGTGATGTACGAGGAATAGTTGTAGTTATACAATCAACATTCTTAGAACAATGTTTGAGAAAACATAAGTATGATGTGAGGATGTCACTTGTTCAACCACACATTGTTGATTGCCACCCCAATTTATATGGACTCATGCATGATCACATGCTTATGTTGTAAAGATGTTGATTGTATAACCACACATGACTATTCCTCATTCATACTTGTGCTTTCTTCACACATTAGTTTGAAGATGTTGATTGTATAACTACAACTCTTTCTCATACATCATTTATCTCCACCCCCAATGTATGTGGACCCTTACATTACTTGTTTAAACTTATTTAATTTAATAAATTTCAATAATATTATTTATTATTAGTTAATCATTCTCCCTTTTAAATTATACTAGCTACGGTCTATATTTAAGCGTCATACTCTAGTAGGTGCAGTATAGATCATTTATGGATCATGATATCAACCCGCATATACCTTATTAGTGTTGAAGTATAGATGTCGTTGGTACAATCTAAACCAAGCACATGAAAAAATATCGACTGTCTTAATTATCTATATATTTTTACCAATACTGACAATACATAATTATCCAAGTTTTACAACGGTAACAAAGTACAAATTGCTACTTTTCAACGATAACATTTGCTTTTTTTTAGTGTATAAAAAGAAGGATTCATGAACTCTTCCATCCTATTCTATTTTATAATACTTAAACATCTCTTTTTATTATGTCTCAAGCATCTCAAACATCCAATGCAAAAAAATCTTACGTTTGTCGTTGTGGTAATTTAACTATGTTGAGGACGTCACACACCAATGTCGACAATTCTTTAACTGTGCAATTGGTGCATGCTCTTTTTTAAGTGGCTTGAAAATGATTCATCAACGAGCATCCCATCAAAATTGAGTCCGGAACTCGAGACATCAAATTTTCAAGGCGTTACCAAATTTCAAATATTAGAAAGGCTTCGAAACTCCGAAGAAAATAGGGATTTGCTATTGAGTTTACTCAAAGAGGCTGAAGAGCAGAGATATCACTTTAAAGGATTGCTAAAAGACACCGAAAAAGATAGGGATCAACTAAAATAAAAGTTGATATTGGCTGAAGAAAAAGAAAAAGGCCTAAAAATTATACTGTATGGTTTGTTGTTAGTGGTTGCTTTTTGGAAATGTGTAACAGGGATGCAGTAGTACAATCTTATATCTTTTACTCATGTAGTAGTACAATCTATTAATAAAATGAAGTCTTTTTTGGAATTGGTAAGACAATGCATTATATATACAATTTAAAGTCGATAACTGGCAACAATATCCATCAAAACAAAAATAACATTTCATTATTCAACTGTCTTAATCATCAACCACCAAAAACCAACCATTTAAAAAACCAACTGTCTTAATCATCTACCCACTTCAAAAACCAATTGTCTTAATATTCAACCACCAAAAACTAATTATCTTAAAAACTAATTGTCTTATCATCAACACAAAAAACCAACCATTTCAAAAATCAATTGTCTTAAACCAACTTCAAAAATCAAATGTCTTAATAAATCAATATCACAAATATCTTACTCATCACCATTTAGTTCACCATTGAGCTCCATAACAATACCCATCACGTCCACTAAATTTTCATCACTGCCTTCTTTTTCCTCTTCTGCCAAGCCTTCATCTACTTTCTCTTCCAGCTTCTCCTGTTCTTTTTCTTCTTCTTCCTACAATTCAATCTGCTCCTCTTCTTTTTCTTGTTCTTTGTTCTTTTCGATCTTCTCCTCTTCTTTTTGTTCTTCTTCCTTCTCTTCGATCTGTTCCTCTTCTTTATTCTCTTCGATCTGCTACTTTTTTTTTTCTTTTTTTTTCTCTTCCAACTTCTCTTTAATTTCTTCTTCGTTCTCTTCCAGTTTCTTCTCTTCTCTTTCTTCATCTTGTCCATTAACTTCTTCTGCAGAGTACTCATCAATTGCAACAAGATCTTCATCAACTATTGCTAATGGAAGGATTTCATCAACATCAATTGCATCATCATCTTTATCAGCTGTTGGTGCTGTATAGTCTTCATTAACTGGTGCAAGATCAGTGGCTTAACATTCTTACAAATAAATTATTTACACAAATAGTATATAAATTAGTCTACCTTCATTTTTCTTGTTCTTATGAGCTCTTCTCAATTTTTCATCTCGTATAAAAGCAACAACTTCCATCATTGATAGTTCAAGGGATGCAACACGCTCACACAAATTATCATCTTAATTTTTCTGTCCACTTGAAACAAAATTCTCACAAGGTTGGTTGGAATTGTTCTCACCCAATATTTCATCCTCCTCGTTCTCTACCGCAGAAGTGAGGACAGTGACACCTTTCAAACTGGCCTTTAAGGTATCAATGATTGTGCCCTTCACTTCGTTCGTAAATGGCTTTAATGTTGCCATATAATTTTGTTTTGTCTCATGGACAGTAGGTATGAGGTATGGATGCACAACCTACAAAAAAAAATATAAATAGTACAAGACCTTCACTAATTTACAAATATTGCTAGATAATAATAAATAAGTTTATACCTCTGTACTTCTCCCTTTGTACTTAAATGGATCACCTTCGACAATATTATCGCTCTTTGTCATGTGCCATCTAAGTAAACGGGGAATTAGCAGAGGAGAATTCAAGGACTTCTTTGCATAATTACCAAGATGAGGAAAAGTCTCATATATCCAAATCTGAAATTAATAAAATAACAATTAAATAAACATAGAATATGAAATACTAGATAAATATATAGGAGTTTAATATCAATCAAGTACATAATTGATAATAAGTACCAGAAATACCCAGGGGAAGCCATACAAGCATACGATGCATTCCCTCTTTCCTTGTACACTTCACTTTGTTTCTTCAAATTAATTTTGTTCTTCAAATACTTCACTGTTAAATCAAAACACTCTTTTCCCCACTGATAACTCTTGAAAAAATCTAAATCATCGACCATCTTAAATGTGGTTTGAATCCACAATCTTAGATCGATCATGGGCAAGCAACATCGAGTGGACGAACCAAACTAAAGAGCACTTCAATTTCTGCTCCTTATTCAATCTGGTACCCTTAATCAAACTCATCAACTTTGTACCACTGATTTTCTTATTCTTGGTCACTTTATAGAAAAATTTCTCACCTTTCTGAAGCACTTTTTTCATTTTTGCATCACGGGGGTATGCTGAGCAATTCAGCCTCATAATCAATGCAAACTCTTTTAAGCCAAAACAAGCAGACTTATCATTCACACAAAACCACATCTCATGCAATTTTTTATCATTTTTTACACGACGCAACAACATATAGTGGACCATTTGTCCATTGAACTTGTAATGTTCTGAAATATGTCCTAAATGTCCAAAACAAGTGCCTTTAAAGTCATTATAAATTTTTTCTTGAACTAAAACATTTCTAAAATCACGATAAAGAGTCATTCTTGCTCTCACAGAAATTTTTGCTGGAAAAGATCCTAACTCATCCATCCATGTGGTTAGATTATAGGACTTACCAGAGATCTCTCTTGCACAAGTTGGCAAGGACAGGAGATCATCATCCTCATCTCCAGTATCTCTGCTATCTCTATTACTCTCCTCATCTCCACTGTCAGTGTTTTCTTCACTAGACTCAACATCATCAGTAGCCAGGGTACTACTGTCCTCATAGTTGTCAATTTCAACCATCGTATCAGAATCCGAATTAGACTTGGGTTCTTCAACTACAATTTTTTTCTTTTTTGAAGATCTTAAAGTTTCTTCAGCCTTTCTTTTCTGGTTTTTGGAAGGCTTAGGAACAAACCGTTTAACAATCCCACCTCTAGTTTTAGCCATAACCAGAGTAAACCTCCAATAAAACATGCAAAATAAATAGCAGATCCAATAGAAATCAACAATGCGATTGACAAAAACGCCACTAAAGTTGATCAAAGTTTAGTCAAAATTTCAAAATCAATAGGCGAGATAAACATAATTTTTTTTAAAAAAAAATAAGCAACCAAATAGGGTAAAATATTTATATCCAAACAAAAATGTCATTAGAGACCACAAATATTCATGGAATACGGCGAAAAATTCATCCTTAACAAGAACATGAAGAAAAACAGTCCAGAAAAAAGAATCATTAAATCATTACACTACTATAACAAAATAAACAACTAAATACGGCTAAAAATTATCGAAAAACACCATTACAGAAGATTCAACTTACCAAAGATGAATGCTTTGAACTTGGGAAAGAAGATTGAATAAAAGAAATGAAGATTTGAGAGACGTTTAGGACGATGAAATGGTTGAAAAGTTTGTATAAGTTAATGAAAGAGAAGTGGAGATCCCAGAGAAGTGTATGGGGAAGAGAAGCGATGATTACACTGGTAGAGAAGTGTATGGGGAAGATGAAAAACCCTTGCACTTGAGAAGAAGAAACGTCGGAACAAGGTTTCAAAAAAAGTGTCTTTTTAATATATTTTAACATTTTAAATCAGATTTTAATATAAAATTACGTAAAATGTATTGGGATTATAATATATTTTTGTAAAGATATATATTTTCCCCAAGTTTTAAAAACAATAAGCAAGCCCATGACCCCACATTCACAAATATACCCCAAGTTTTAAAAAGGCTAAAGAGACCCATGACCCCACACTTTTTCCCTTTTTAAAAGTCAAACCCTAGAAAATAAACCAAAAATAAATTAAGTGGGTATAGAGTAAATTAAGTTATTAAGGTGTCCCAATGCCAATTCTTCTCATAAGACTGTAATTTATTAAAAAAAAAAAAAGAATTATTGAGATATTTCTTGTTACCTTCATAATACTTTACTCTTAAAGTATTCGTTTAATGTAATAATGAAATGATTTGCCTAAAGGTGAATAGTATCTCATATTAGGTGTCGTTTACAATTAGCTAAAATATTCGATCTTGACAAAAACTGAGGATTAAATTTCACAAAAACACACTTTCAGTAGGAGGAAAGGATGTTGGGAATAGTTTTCTCAACTCATCAAATGAAAACTTTGTTTGATTGTAGGTCTTAAACATGTATCCTTTTGTCCAAAAGTGTTTTTTTTCTTTTTCCAAAAGGATACTTTAAGAACAACTCTAGAAGAGTGTTAGTACACCAAAAATAATTTTTAATGACAAATAATTAATGATAATGACTTAATTATTGTTAAATATATATTTTTAGCGGTAATTAACACTTTTTGTAAATGTCCTTAAAGTTTGTAGCGACATTACATCTAATGACAATTAATTAATACCAATAAATTTTTTAGCATTCTTTTTTAATATATATATTTGTTATTACTAAAAGTTGTTTTTTAAGCGATTGCTCTTTCATTCTTGCATAAGTCATAATGCTAATTCCATCCCAAATAAAATACAAGAGTTTTAGCCATCAGAAATTCAAACCAAAACTACTTGTATCTTTAAAAATAAAGATATAAGACCTATGACAATCAAAAACTCAACACAAAACAAAACCACCCGTATCTTTAATTTATTATTTATTAAATATAAAAATACACACGCCGGAGGAAAATAGATGAAGAAATTAAAAAGAACCACACATACTCCATAACAATAATTTTAAAAGAAAAACACAAAAACATAATGTTGTTTAATTTTTCGTCGAGTCAAAATAAAGCATGAGTTTATATGCTAGCTGTAGCCTGCAGTATCCATGCATCTGACTGAGTCCTATTACTTCTTCACAAGCCACACCTCCTTTCTTTCTTTGAATCCCATAGCAAGAAAGTTGAAGGCCCTGATCATAAGCAAGATAGAGTACATATTAAACAACATGAATAAATGAAGTTATCAGCATGTAAAGATAGTACCTTTTTTATATACTATAGAAATAATTTAACTTAAGCTTTTTTTATTTTTATTTTAAAAAAAATTCAAAGCGGAGGAAATTAATGGGTTAAACGAGTGGGTTTCAAAAAAATTGATATCTAAAATTTGGGGTGAATCATTTGTTTTCGGGCTTGCCACATTTTCTTTCGTTAAAATTTAGGGTAAATTTTTAAGAGGGATATATTTGGATAAAAAATATAACTGAAGGATATATATAGTATTTCTAATGGTATAAGGCATGAGCGACTCAAATACATCAGTGGCCTAAAGTCATATTCGAATGAAGGCCTAAATTTTAATAATTTTTTGATAAAGTATACTATAGCATTTTTATTTAATTTTTTTTGAGACATAATATTCTAAATTGTTCAAACTTGTATTACTTATTTTTTTCCATTTGTACGGAAATTTTAGAATCAATAATTTTTCAAAACTAAGGGCAACTGCCTTTTCTTTTAGCTGTAGAGCCGCTGCCCCTTTGGTATTTGGCCCTTCACCGTTTCAAAATTGAAATGTGATAAAAGTTGGTACTTTTTTCATAAGAAAGTACCTCAAACGAGAGAGTTCGAGAGCTCGTTGAGGACGAACCACACGGATGGTTGATCCCTCTTCATCAGTAAAACGATCAACGATAATCTTCGGGTAATGCACAAAGGTTTGCGGCGTCAACCGCTGAATTAATTTCCCATTTATATGAACCTCTACGCTAGAGGGTCTCCCAAAGGACTTGTTGCGGGCAAAGAACGTATGCGCCGCCATAACCTTTGTGCTGAAGGGGTCTACTCTGATCACAAGGCCGTGGCGGCTTGGCAGTGCATAGAGGAAATTCTCTTTCAGATAGACGGGAATTTCTCCCCTGTTTTCTACCTGAACGACCACTTCAAAAAGATTAATCATCATCATGTTTAATACTAGGATCTTCTGTCTGCAGCTCGGTGAACTAAGTTTGCTATGAGTAGCGGAGTTCAGGAAAAGGTGGGTTTATTATACACAATCTTATATCTATTTTACAACTTTTTGAATGGTGACCTTATTGGAATGTGTGGTGAAATTGATTGATGGTAGTGGCTGAAGAATGTGGTGTGGTACTTAATGATGTGTTTGTGGTAGTTGGTGGTGGTGCTAGTTATGATGATGGAGGGTAGTGGTTGATAATAGTGATCAATGGAGGTGACAACAGTAATGGTGGGACTGAAGAATGTATAGTGATAGTTAGCGGCGGTGCTATTTGTGATGGCGAAGTTTGTTGGTGGTGGGAATTGATCGTGGTAGAGGCTGATAGTGATAGTAGAAGGTGGCAGTGGCTACAAAGACGGGGCGGTGGTGATGGTAGTAGTGATGGCAAATGTGGCTGGTTAGTGGTGGTAACCGGTGATGGTGGATATGATCTACACAAAATACTAATTAAATGCTTAAATATAATGAAAATAACTTAATGGTCAAAGTCTCAACCATTCATATTCAGATTTTCATTAAGTACATACAAATGAGACCTAAACAAAATTTAGTTTTGAAAGATTAAAAAAAAAAAACTCTATAAATGTTAGTACACAATTAATGCGAGAAGGGCATAATGCAAATTCAAATAAAAGCAAAAATACAACACACAGGCCGACACATATACCCAGCACCACAATATCAGATTGGGGAGTAAGATCAAAATTAGAGAAATTGATATAAAAGCAAAGATATGATCTCATGTAAGTAGGAAATAAAAAATATCTACTCTAGTTTTATCATCAGCGATATTCGATTTGAATCTAAGAGAAATTCTAGAGAATGTTCACTAAAAAATGTGGAGGGGTAAGAGTGTTGAAGTACTTGATCTTATATAAAGGTGAGATGAGTGCTTTCAAATTAAATTATCTACAAATAATATTCTTTTAGTCGTATTCAGTTTATCAAATTATGAGATAATATGAAGAATGGATTTCTATTTAAAAGAGATGTGCTGATGTAACATCTTGTGCGTGTGTTATTGTTGGTTTTTCTTTTTTTTTAAATCTCATGTTGTGGCTGAAAAAATCAGCAAGCAGCAATCGGGATGCTACCTGGAGAATTGATATTTGACTAGATACCTTTCAGCTTAAGAAGTGTAACTACTGTACAAGTGTGAACTTTCAGTATCTGAGCAAAGTTTTGTGATTAGCATTTGGTTTTAGTTTTGAGTATATTGTAGCATGGAGATAGTCATATTCAGTATATCAAGTTATGAGATAATATATATTAGAAAGAGAAGAATGGATTTATATATAAATAAATGTGCTGATGTAACATCTTGTGCGTGTGCTATTGTTTTTTTATTCTTATATTCTTGCTGAGAAAATCAGCAAGCAGCAATCGGACGCTACCTGGAGATTATATTAAATTGTTAGTTCCAATAAGGCCCGACTCAAAATGAAAAAGGATTTGCAGAATATTTTATATTTCTTGATGATTGTTGAGGACATTGTACATTCTGTTATATAGAAATTTGCTATGCTATTTTGTACCTCGACACCTGTCATCTTATTATTTGTTGACTTGTATAACAAGCATAGGAAAGGAATATTCTAATTTTACTTCTAGATCGTATATATAAATAAAATATATTTTAAATGGTAAATAATTAAAACAACAAACGTTCTTAGTCCATTGGATTCTGGTGCTCAGCCAAAGCTGGGGCGAACAACATCCGTGCAAGTTTGATTCCCCAAAGCTACATTATATTTTTATTTTCAAAAGAGCTATTAATTAATAAATCAGCTATTTTTTTTCCCGTAAAACTAATATTATCTATTAAAATAATCTTAAATTAGAGACCTACAACTTAAATTTTTAAGGAAAAAAAAGGTTTATTAGCCAATTAAATTTTTAATCAATTTGACTTATGATTTTTTTTCTTTTCATTAAATTTTTAAATAAAATTTAAAATTAATTATTTAATTTAAAGTTAATCAGAAAATTTTATTTCTTTTTTCTATAAAACTATTAAAAGTTAAAAAGGATTCATATAAAATTTCTTTTAAAAAATCTCATTCTACTCTTTATTTTCGATTTCTCAGTGAAATTCTTAAGTATAAATGTGATTTTATTCTAAATTGGATTTGTCCGTTCACTTCCTATTATGTATGCACATTCAAGCTAAATATTATTTAGTTTGATTTTAAAAATTTTGGTATATTTTTTAATCAAAAATAATAATTATTTATGTTACATAGTTTGATTTACAAAATTTTATAGCACCCATTCGTTAATTTTCTTTTTCTGCCTATGCAATTCTTGGACACCCTTCATGAAATTTTTGGCTCTGCCACTGCTCCTACCTTCATTTATTCATGTTGTTTTATATATATACTCGATCTGGTTTATGATCAGGCTTTCAACTTTCTTGCTATGGGGTTCAAAGAGAGGAAGGAGGTGTGGGTTGTGAAGAAGTAAGGACTTAATCAGATGCAGGAATACTGAGGCTGCGGCTATCATATGAAACTCATGCTTTATTTGATTCAGGAAAAACGTTTCTGTGTCTTTTTTTAATTCAAGAACCATTTTGAAATTTTAGTCCCTTCAAATCTATAGGCACATTTGCTCTTCCAAAGTTCCCAACAAATAATAGTTGACAAACATTTGAATTAGAACTGTGAATACTATTTTTGGACTACGTAAGTCACCATTGCACTTAGTTGCACGGACTCTTCACTTTTGATGCCGCATCCGTCTCAAATTCTTCAAAAATACATTATTTTTGGCGAATTCGACACACACCCGTTGGCATTTTTGAAGAGTCCGAGCAACATAGTCATTGTATGATGCTGTTTTTGAGGTTATCATCCCCAAGAATCAGAAAAAAAATTCAAACATTTTTTGCCAAATCACCTTGAATAAAGAGATGTTGGATAGTTTCACATTTATTTTGAGAGCAACAACAACATATAGAAGGGCCATTAATGTGAAATCTAGCAATTTTATCATCTGTTGGGAGCTTATTATTAAGCATCCTCATCATGAAAAATAAAACTCTAAGGGGTCGTTTGGTAGGGAGTAATAGGAGAAGTAGTCTAAATATTATGTGTGGTATTATTTAGTACTATATTTGGTAGGAATTTTGGGTCTATGTATAATTAATTTATGGATTAGTTATACACCTTACATCGTATTATAGGTGTATAACTAATACATTCCATTTGGTGGTATTAGTAATACATGAGATCTAACACCATGGGACTAATCTAGGTAAAGACAAAAAATACCCCCTCAAATCCTTTTAATCATTTTATTTATTTTCTTGATTTTATGTTTTATATACATACTAATAAATTTATTTAAATAAATTAGTTTGCAAATTTTATTATTTAAAAAGAGTTTTTTGTTGCTAAAATATGAGTTATTTAATCTATTTATTATTAATACAAAATATTATTAATCGACTAATATGCTAATGTTGGTGTATGAATTTAAGAACAATTCATAAGTCAGTTATCACCCCTTCACAAAAATCCATCGAAACAGTACACAAGTAGTATAAAACAAGAGCGTGTATATATATATATATATATGTTTGTATTGCCTAAAGATAGATTATTATCTTCATTTGCACAACTTGGACTTGGTGACCAAGTAGCATCCACATAAATCATGAATTAACCTGAAATTAAAATAAGTATCTAAGATGGAAGTCCACTCATGGAAGAGACAAAAATACAAATTAAGCAATGCATTAAAATCGAGTTTTCACTTACTTTCAAATGAGTTTTTCTTTCGGATAACAGTTTTATATATTAGTTAAGAAACTATTACACTCAAAAAAATAAAAATAAAAATTGTTTAAATTAGACCAAATATTTTAATTTATATGATGATCGTTTCCCCCATAAGAATCTAATCAATTTTCAAAATATTATTTTTAAAAAAAACATCTCGAGCATAAAAATAGTTTAATATATTTTGCTATTTTTTATTTTTGTTTTATTTTATGATAAAGAGTGTTTTTATTTTTTATTTTATTGATACAAAACAAAATTCAATAAATTTTCTCTATAAATTATTATAGTTGTGTGACCTTTTTGAGGATATTTAACCCCAATTTATTAAGATGACAATTATTTACCCCTCAAATAATTTAAGTGAGAAAATAATGAACATGACAATAAAGTTTTTATTCTCCTAACTAGTTAAAAGGCTATAAAAAAAAATATTGTCCGTCAATTATATACCTTGACCCAATTACATGAAATAGAAAATCTCATAATAACTCAAGGATATTTTCACCGCTTAAGGAAATTTATTGCGAACACATACAAAATTAGGTGAGAAGCAGTGAACCAAACACTTGATAAAAATAATACATGCATTACTAATCCATGCATTACCAATTATGCATTACTAATCCCTGCATTATTGATCTTTGTACCAAACGACCCCAAACGACCCTTGTATGATCTTATACCAAAATTTAATTGCTTGAGAAGCTTTCAACTTAATTTTATGCTAGAGGTTCTTTTATGACCTTTATTCACGTCCAATACACTTTCCGCACTTAATATTGGACCTTTACACCTAGGAGGTTTGAAGTGTTACAACAACTATTTAATGAATATATGATCAACGTAACATATGAAACAACAGATCCCAAAGATGAAATTGTAGCTTATTGGGGTGCATATCAAAGACTTATGGGCAAGCTACTATATCTGACCATGACCAGACGAGACCAGACATAACCTATAGTGTGCAGACATAACACTTGGTTGATATATTTTGGCTTCTAATCCAATCTATCATGAAAGAACTAATTAAGCACATAGAAATAAATTGCCATTTTGTAAGGGAGAAAATTCGACGAGGATTAATGAAGATTGAGTAAGTCTCAACTCATGATCAACCTATTGATGCCTTATCAAGAGTCTTAACAGAGTATACTATGAATATCTAATGTCCAAACTTGGTTTTTCTAACATCGATCTTTGCAGTACCAAGTTTGTGGAGGAGTATAGATATACAGAATGTATACACTGATATACATGTGTAATATACATCTGTAAGTGTGTATTAATTAATAGTGAGTAGTTAAAAAGTAATTCACCCCTAAATTCTCGTTAAATTTAGGGGTGTTTTCAATCTTTCTCTCGGATTTTAATGAGCACCGCGCTCCTACAAAAGTTTGAGACGGACCATTTGCTATACCATGTATTTAAGTTGAATTAGTAAAGTAGAGGAGTGTTTTTAAGACCGTTAAAAATTTAAAGATGAAACTAATAAGTAATTCACTCCAAGTTCAAGAGCATTTTCAATACTTCTCTCATTTATTAATGAAAGAGATGATTTGCCTAAAGAATGAATAGTAGTACCTCATTAGGCGTCGTTAACAATTAGCTAAAATATTGGATTGTGACTAAAGAATGAGGAATAGGTGATGTGGAATAAAGAGTTGACATTGGGACAAAAACGACACTTTCAGTACGTAGGAGGAAAGCCTGTTGGAAATAGTTTTCACAGCTCTTCATGAAATGAAAACTTACTTTGATTGTAGGTCTAAAACTTATATCCTTTTGTCCAAAAGTTCCTTTTTTTTTTCTTTTCAAAATGGTATTTTAAAGAACAAGCACCTCTAAAGACCGTGTAACTGTGTAAGTGATTCCTTAAAACAATATAAGCATTCTTGCAACAAAGTCATAATGACTAAAAAAACTACTAGTTATAACAATAAAAAATTCAAAAAAAAAAAAACACAAAATTACTAGCATCTTTAAAAATTAAAATACAAGACTTACAATAATCAAAAATTCAAAAACATAACAAAACCACCCGTATCTTTAAAATAAAAATACACTCACAGGAGGAAAACAAACGAAGAAAAAACAACACCACACGTCCTCCATAACAATAATTAAAAAACAACACGCAGAATCAACACACATCCTCCATAACAATAATTAATAAACAACACGCAGAATTCGAGTAAAACTAAAGCATAAATTTCTTATGATAGCTGTTGCCTGCAGTCTCCATGCATATAACTGAGTCCTTACTCCTTCATAACCCAGACTTCTTTCCTTTCTTTATAGCCATTTGCCAGAAAGTTAAAGACCCTGATCATAAACAAAATTGAATATATACAAAATAACGTGAATAAATCAAGTGATAAACCCCTCTCACATGAAAATGATACTACATTTTTATATACTAAAGAAATAATCAAAATTTTAAAAAAAAATCTAAGCGCGCGGAGGGAATGGATCAAACAGCTGGGTTTAAAAAAAAATAGACATTTAAAATTGGGGTGGATCATTTATTTTTGAACTTGTCCTATTTAAATTAAACACAAATTTGTACCAAAGTATAATAAGAGGAATATATTTAGATATAAAATATAACTAGGAGTGTAAATACAAACTATTTCTAATAATACAGGACATGGGTGACTTAAATACATTAATAGCCTAAAGTCACATTGGAATGAAGCCTTAAATGTTACTAGCTCCATTTAAAAAAGAAAGGTCTATTTTCTTTTTCAGTCTGTTTCTCTTTCCTCTTTTTTACAACACTTTAATTTCAACTTTTATATGACATGTTAATTTTTTTATGAATTTATTATAGCAAATCCATTTTATTACTATTATTCTTTAGATATAGTATTCAATATTTATAAAACTAAAAAATATCATGCCTGACCAAAAATATAACAAATGGTGTATATATAAATTATTTCTGATAGTATAAGACTGGGGCAACAAATCACATCGGAATGGAGGGTTAAATTTGGGGGCTTAATACAAACTGCCTTTTGTTTTAGCTGTAGAGCCGCCCCTTTGGTATTTGACCCTTTACCATTTCAAAACTGAAAGCAGAAAAATGATTATGATATATACTCTAAAAGTTCATATATTGTTTTTTCATAAAGAAATTAAGTACCTCAGACGAGAGATTTCTAGCTGTCGTTGAGGACGAATCACACGGATGATTGATCCCTCTCCATTATCAGAAACACCATCAATGATGATCTTCGGGTAATGTACGAAGGTCTGCGGTGTCAACTGCTGAATCAATTTCCCATTTAGGTGGACCTCTACGGTAGAGGGCCTTCCGAAGGACTTATTGCGGGCAAAGAAGGTATGCGCCGCGATAACCTTTGTGCTGAACGGGGGAATTTGGATCACAAGGCCGAATCGTCCTGGCAGTGCATGAAGGAGACTCTCCTTCAGGAAAACAGGAATTTTCCCTCTATTTTCTATTTGAACGACAACTTGTAGCGGATTCATCTTAATTACTAGGATCTCGTGCCTAGAAAAGTGCAGCTCGGTGCACGCACAGGGTTCAGAAAAAGATGAGCTTTGAGAAACTCTTACTAAAACGATCCACTGAGAGAGACGCTTCAACTTTAAGTACACTTTTTTGAGAAATTTAGACGTTGAAGGGTATCAAGACGATGCAAATTGGAGAGCCTAGCAACAACTCCATGGAGGGGCCGGTAGGATCATGATCGGGTGGTGAAGTTGTAGTCGTTTGTCCGAAGTTGTAGAGACATAATAAAGGTTTGTATGTTGGTTCATGTGAGGATAAATTGAATGAGGTTAATTGGTGTGAGATGAACTTAAATGAAAAAACTCGGATGGTAAGAGTTCCGATAACGCTTTTCTTTTTATTGGTATGCCGCTCCGCAAGCAAGGAGCGAGCTAAGTAAATCTTACCTGAAAATGAGTGAGATTTTCTCGCTAAATCCCTCTCCTTACAATCAAGTGGCTTTCCGCTCCTCAGTCGATGTATAGTTAATAAAAATCTATTTAGCCAGACTACAACTTATGTGGAATAAGTTGAATGTAATGGATTGAGATGTAATAGAATGAATGAAAACCACTATACAACTATACCCTTTTATAAGAAATGAAATATAATCCATTTTCTCTAAATCAAGAAATGATGGTCCGTAGTATAAGGCAATCGTGGAGATTAAACATAAAGGATAAAGTCATGATATACCGTTGGAATATTTCTGATTTGCAATGAAATTATATAAATAGAACTAAGTCAACTCTGCATCAATTCAGTGCCAATTAGCCAAATTAAAACAAGGCTGAGCCAAAAAATAATGAACTTCAAACAAGTATTTTCTATAAAAACCAAATATTTATATATATTTTTCATGCGTCTATTTTATTTATGCGTTATATTATTCGTTTTTAAGGTCAAGTACATAAACTATTTGGTGAAAATTTTCTTTTTTCTTTTTTAGATACCATTCTTTTTTCTTCTTTTTTTATTAGAATATCATGATCTTTAGCCAAATAAAAAATTATAAGAAAAATATCGTTGTTCCAATCTTTTAAAACATTTTTTTCTATCGAAATGACCCTGAAAAGATGGTTTACTTAATTAAACAATTAGTGAACTTAAAAAGATATATATATATATATATATATTATCAAATACAAACTATATCATATTTTATATTATACTTTTGACATTGAAAATATTTAGTACCTATAGGAAAATTAAAATAATTCTTGTTTGATCATAACATGTTGAATTCAGTATTTTTCCAATACATGTATAGCATATAAATATGTTAAAAGACATTCAATATCACTTACATCTTATAAGAAAAAGAGCATTTATATATATATTATCCTAAAAAAAGTCACATAGACAAAAATCACGTGTGACAGCGTCTGTCACACATCCATGGACGGTGGACCATGAATTGTAGCTATCAAATTACCAAGTTAAATGGGCGATTAAACCAACGCAAATTTTTTTAAAAAAATACAATAAAGAAATCTCGATAAATTTAGAAAAATTACGATCTATTCTACCTATAAAATAAGATCAATTTTCTGTTGTCCCTTAATTTATTAAATGATAATTGCTTAACTGGCGACACGTCAAGTCAATATAGGATACGTATTGAATTACTTGTAAATTAATAAAGTTGTTTTCTTCCTTACTTCTTGCTTGTTACTGAATCCAACACGTTTTCAAATTAAGTGAATATTGTCAAGAAATTCATATTTTTTTGCCTTGACATTTATATTAGTAAATATAGTTCATACGCGTGCAGTAATATGTCGACATGTTGATTTTTCAAATACTTCAATTTGAATATATTAGTAAATCCTGATAGTCACTTTTTTAAATTAGAAAAAGATTATATACGTTAAATAAAATCCATAACTACCCGGAAAATAGCCTTTTTAATTTGAACTTCCCTTTCATTGTTTGAATGGGCGGTTTGACCTTCTCAATGCTGATGCAAGATTTATGAAGAGGAATTTTGTTAAATAGTTCTATTAATTAATGCCCCTAATAATAGATTATAGAAAGATTAGGTAGTTAAGTTTTCTTCTCAAAACATATATTATATGAATTTTTTTTATATAAATACAAATCTTATTTTATCATATTCTGTAAAATTTTCTACCATTTTAAAAAAGTGAAAATTTCATATATGACATTTCTGGTTCTCCGTGTAGATAAGCGATAGGTTTCATTGGGATAGGTTTAGCTATTCCGGACGCAGGACGTAAAACATCAACATACTTCCTTCTCGTGTCTGGTTCCATACCCACAACAGCTTGGCCCACCCCTAAGAGGGGTTTTTTAATTAATTGTAAAAATCTGTTTTGAAAAAAAAGAAGATATAAAAGGAAAATAAATCAATTTTGAAGGACGAAAATCTGAAGATGTTGAGTAGATGTACGGCGGCGGTAGGGTTTTCTTTAGATTTGACCTAGTTATATTATGTTAAGTTAAATAAAGAAAAAAAAATACACAAATCAACCTCATAGCAAACTAAAATATTGATATTTTTAATTTTCCTTAATTCACTCTAATCTGTTAAAATTAATTAAAGAGTCTTATTTTATCCATTTTCTTCAATGTTTCTCTCTGCGTTTTTTTTCCAGAATTGTTGTCATTGACGAGTAAATCAAGTTTGGATACCAATTATAAGTCAGAGTTAGTTCACGAACTCTAAATTAATAGTATGATTTCTTTCTAGTTAATAAGACATTGTAAAATCATAAACTCTAAATGTCGAATCCAATTTGTATGCATTTTGTATATAACTATTATCCCGAGAATTATTATAGTCAATGTGTAATTTATCTTTAAAATGGTGTATTCATTTGGAATGCAGTCTATATATAACTAGTATCCTGCGATTACAATAGTCAATCTATAATTCATATGTAATTGGTATCTTTTTGAAATAAAACAGTGGATATTATATATATCAAATACTTAAAGCTGTAACAAACACAAAAATATCGTCCAAAAGTTTAAAAAAAACTTGTAATTCTAAAAAGTCTAAGGTGTAATCAACTATCTCAAATTTGATCTCCGTGGTCTTGGTGTGGGATAATTGCTGGTATCTGGAGCATGTTCTTTTGCTATGCGGGGTCCACCAAATTTGCTAGCAACAGTGCCGGTTACTTCACTCTCACTAGTCGCGCCATCATCATTCTTTGTGTTTCCATAATACTATATGATTGTGGCATACCTTTGATGATGTTACTTTGCATCGATATCAACAGAACGCATATCAAAAACTCCATTACTGATGTATTCAGCAAATAGACATGTGTACAAACCACAATCACTGAAAAAAATTTGAAAGAAAAATCGATTTATACCATTTTCATACCAATGTTAAAAATTTAAATACATTAGTGAATAAATTGAAAAAGAAACCTTCCTATTAGAAAAAAATCCCAAATTCATATCAATATTAGTCATAATTCATACAAAACAGAGTAATTTAATAATTCATACCATTTGCATACCAATTTAACAACTCATACCATTGGACTACTGATATCAAACCAATTTTATACCAATGTCAAAACACAATTCATACCGATTCATACAAATATTATTCACATTTCGTACAAGTTTCATCCAATACAATTTTCCCCTTCCTCTTCTTTCCCTTTTGATTTGCGGGACTCACCCTTTTCTTTGCTTCGTTTGTTTTCTCTTTTTGATCCTTCGACCCAATGTTTTTGCCTTTTTTGGATATTGGAATTTCTGATTCCTTCTTTTTTGTTGTTCTTCTTGTTGATGGTTTTGAAGATTGAGCAATTTCTACATTTGTTTTTCTTTTTTTGTTTTTTCTTTCACTAAAAAAATCAGAATTCGAATCAATTTCTACAAAACGTTGAAGATGGTGAGAGAGAAAAAGTTAGTTCTCTGTAAAAGAGAAACGTGGGGGTGGGGGTGTGGGATTTACGTGTGGGTAAAAGAGGAAGGTGGGGGTTGTTGTGTGAAATCTGGAAAAAAATTCCTAAATTGGTGTAAGAGATAAATTCTCTAATATTAATGTTTAAAATGGTGTAAGAGATAATGACAATTGATTCTCTAATATTAATGTTATTTCTCTTACTTATTAATTATAATGTAATTATAAAAATAATAACTAATTAATTAAATAAAATAAATTAAATTATAAATTAAAACTAATCTGTTAATACTTGTAATTAAACTATTATAAGTAGTAATACAAAAAAAGTACATCTAAAGGCTGTAATATTAAGCCTTAAATAGATATATGGGGTGATTTTTCCTTTAAAAAATTATAAAAATCTCATCTTGGATACATCCCTATCCTCTCTCAAATACATCTCTATCTCCTCTCAAATACATCTCTATCCCCTATACATACAGATCCTAATTGTCATACATACATATTTAAAATACGTTTGACATAAACATACAGAGATATACACAATTGTATGCACGGTGATACATATAGGACATATATACGTTCAAACATGCATACACAATATGTATCAATTCACTTGTGTGCACATGTATGCTATATGTATTCTATTATATGTATAATTATACACATAATATAAAATGACTTAAACATGAGATACAAGATACATATAGGTATCACTTGTATGTCACTTACATTATTCATTTTCCTTTTCTTTTGTATCAATGAATCACCATTAAATTTATACACTTAAAACTAAAATATATACTTCATCTATTTTTTTTTAAAAATAACCTGCTTTCTTTTTAGGTTGTTTAAAAAAGAATGATCATTTTTCCTTTTTAGCAATATTTTAATTTCACTTTTTTCACATGACATGTTTAAGACCACAAGATTAAAGAACATTTTGGTACATTTAACATAACTTTAATTTAGGATTGCAAAAATAAAAAAATCTTTCTTTATTTTCTTAACTCCATATAAATCAAATTAGATCAGTCTTTTTAAAATGGAGAGAGTAATACATGTGTGGAAATTAATGAATTACATAAGAATGAGATCACGTACGTATTATTCACCTTGTACCTGAAAAAAAGCTCAATATTAATAGCAAATAGAATCTGATCTACTTAAGTGGCAACACGTCAAGTCCATTCAATAATTTGTAGGGTTGTGCAAAAATTGAACCGACCGATAAATCGAACCGAAAAACTGTTATTGGTTTATTGTTATTGAGTTATTGGGTTAACGATTATTTAATGGTTTTAATAAAAAAAATTATTGGGTTATCAGTTCGATATTGGTTTTTTAATATTGGGTTATTGGGTTAATCGATAACTCATTAAGAATATAATAATTTACTATTTTAATTTTTAGTCATACATAAATATCAAACAAAAGATATTAATATAATCACTATATTAGACTATAATTATAAGGACCCTATGCAGTCAACATTACTTAATTAACTTTGTTCTCTGTATTTATCCTTTAGGTTTTAATATTATTTTAGTCTTTAGGTTCACAACGAGAGAAATCTTTGTATTTATCCTAAGAACTAAGAACAATGACAACAAAGGTTAGGCAACGACTAGGGTTGTGAATTATGAGTATTTGCTATACTTTTACTACACTAAGCAGAACTTTTGCACTCAATGAGTAATTAGATTTCTCTCGTTTTTATTTCGCGTTAAATTGTTGGACA